CCACACTTTCGATACTCTCACCTTGCATGCTCATGAGAATCCATATCCGGCGCTTCGTATGAAGTCAGGGCACAGACAGAGAGAGACGGAGAGAGAGAGGGAGAGAGAGAGGGAGCTACGTGCGTCGTCTACGGTGTTGTGCAGGTGTGCTTCAGAGTTGCAGGTACCTCGTGTAAACCTAATGAACAGTACCGGGTTTTTATCAGCCTCTTGCATTATAATTAAGGGCAACTACGCACCTGAAACTATCCTAGATAGAAAGAAGGCGCACCGTGTCTTAAGGGTTTGGTTATATTCGCTCTTGCTTGGGGTGCTTGGTTCCAAATCCCAAACCTTCTCATCCCAAAACCCGAATCCCGAAGCCCCATTCCCTAAACCCTGAATCTTAAGACCCTGAACCTCTAAACCCTGAAGCTTAAGACCCTAAGCCCTAAGTCCCTGAACCCAAGCATCCCCACATCCCCCACCCTTCGAGCTCTGCCTCTGCTCGCCATCCTCCCTCAGCTTTCCTGAGTAGCCGAGTAACCATGTTCTGGGGGTGCCCTTTTTTTGGCTAGTTACTTTAGAAGGGAACCCAGAACCAGAAAAAGGGCAAAGGGTACCACTGGGGTACCAAGTTTCCGGTGGCCACCAAGGACTCGTACAGCGCCAAGGGCCCTGGTGGGAGCTGGGAGCAAGGAGAAGGTCGGTAAGCGTGTAGGGCTGCCAAACCCTAAACCCTAAACCCTAAACCCTTAACCCTACAGGACTTAAAGCTGAGGTTTGGCGTTCTTGTGTCCGGCGCGGCGGGTTGAGGAGTTTGGCTTGTGGTGGGGGGGGGGGGGGGGGGGGGGGGGGGGGGGTGAGCATCCAGGGGCTCGTGTCAAGGAACTTGAAGTAAGTTGCATACGAGAGTTGTACAGGAACTATCATAGTGCCCTTATAGCGGTAGCTTCTCTCAAGTGTTAACTTAACTTCCTCAGCAAGAATCGAAGGTATTGGGGCCTTGTCTGGTTTTATAGGTGAATAAGGACGTTCGGGGCTTTAGGGGATTTGACGTGGCATGTTCAGGCTGAGATGGAGCTTCCTGTTACCTAACAGCTGGGGCAGGGCTGGTCTTGATTTGTTGTGGGCTTTGGGGTTTATATAGGTTTAGGGTTTAGGGTTTAGGGCTTTAGGGCCTTAAGGTTTAGGGTTTAGGGTTTAGGGTTTAGGGGGTTTTGGGTTCGGGCGAGTGGGAGTAAGTGGCTGCTGACCAAAAGTGTCACTTGGAATCTGCGGCTCTAAGCGGTACTGGAAAACCTGACTAGACTGCTTGGTTCTTGCTGAGTAGCTGAAACCCAGCCACCATCATGAAATCATTGTTGCACAGAATGTCGTGCCTTTCTTATGGTAGCCAGCCCGCAGTCCGACATCCTGCAAGTCCTTCAGGCTTGTACCGAAAACGCAATTTCAAACACCCACACCAAACCCACACTAAACCCTAAACACTAAGCCCCTCAGCCGGCCTTTGCTCTGCGCTAATGCAGCTGCGCCCTGGCGGAAGGGGGGCTTTAGGGCTTGGGGCTTGTTAGGGTTCCGGGGTTTAGGGTCCGGCTCTAGGGTTATGATAGGGCTTCTTTTGCAAGGGCTTTAGGGCTCAGGGCATTTAGGCTTTAGGGCTTCAGGGCTTGGGGCCTGTGGACTGTGGTGTGTCAGGTCCGAGGTTGGGAGATTAGGCACCTGATATATCTGCGTGCCATGGCGGGAGATGACCCCAAGACCGACATGCTAAACCCCAAACTACAGCCTCCCCCTTGTGGCCTCACATCGTATCTGCTGGCACTGCATATCCTAGCTTCTAGGATGTAGGTTCAGAACATGCCATTACAAACTAGCTCAAGATGAGGGTCTAGGGTTTGAGGGCTTTGGGGTTTCGGCTTTAATTTCAGGAGCTCGAACAACCTTCAGTAACCAGCAAAGTGATCTCAGCGCACTTTGATGCCCTAAACCCTAAACCCCAAAGCTCAGGGCCTCCTCCACGTGGAACTTCAGCTTGGATTCCTGGGCTGCAGATCGGCTAGCAGCAGCGGTGGCGAGTCCTCCCGGGCCGTGTGACTTCTAGCGTAGATGGCAAGACCCTTTGCGGCTTAGGGTTTAAAGGTTTAGGGTTAACTCTGAACCATAAAGCCCCAAAAACTGCATGCATCACAACGGAGGAACATCCACGGGGGAAGAGCCCAGACCGTCAAGCAACAGGCACGACAGCTGAAAGATTACGTGATTCCTCATTCACCTACACCCTTGAAAACTTTGCCTCCCTCGAAGCAGAAGCCCTAACGAATGAAACTGAAGAGTCACAAGTGTACACCTGAGCTATCCCAAAACCCTAAACACCAAACCACAACCCCGAATCCCTAACCCCTAAACCCTAAAGACCGAGCCTCGAAGAACCCTGTGATAGTGCTGGGGTCCTCTGACTATGCTCGACCGCTGCAACCACCTCGAAGAAGTCCTGGACCTCGACTTGTTTGGGGTGCCTAAGTTCTAACCATAAACCTAAACCCTGGAAAGGGTACCAACAACGAGGCAGGGGATGCGGTTTTGGGGCTTGGTGTTTGGGATTTAGGGTTTGAAAACCCTTACACCTCCAAACCCTTCAAATCCCAAAACCCTGGATGGGGGTTTTGGTTTTAGGAGTTGGGGCCCGCATCGCGAGGCGATGTGTATTTTGCAATTGACGACTTTGGGGTCTCTACCGCAACTAGACTGAGCTACTTAAGACTACAAACCCCATAAACTTATACACTTTCTGAGCTAACTACTTGCACTCCACCCAGAAAAAAACACCGAAATCTATGAAGCCCGACGCGTCATCCTAGCCTCCCACTCTCAGCTGATTCTGGGCTGCTGTTCCTTAAACCCTAAACCCTATAACCCTATAAAACCCTAAAGCCCTAAAACCCTAAAACCCTAAAACCCTAAGACCCTAAAACCCTAAAACCCTAAACCCTAAACCAGGAAGCCAAGCGTCCGCAAATGAGAGCACAGGATCCAGCTCATCACCAGTCCGAGCCTTACGGCTTTGGTGTCTGGGGTTTATACTTTTGTGGCATTGTTATATCTGAGTATACTATTGTATTCCTCTAAAGTTATAGTACTGTGCATATATATATATATATACATCTATATATGTGTGTTTTAAACATACTATGCTGCTGTAAAAGTAACATGTCATACTATGTTGTCATCATGTTCTTATACTTTAATACTTTACATTCTCACACTGCTTATTCTCACACTGCCTATAATTATACCGTCAAACATATGAGACTATTGCATTGTGGAAATATCTTATTTCGTTCATGTTTATATCACATAAACATAGTACTATATTCTTATACGAATATGTTCTATATTGCTATATTCACGTTTCCTGATTTATCTGTAAATTCGTGTGTATATATACCTATATATATGAATAACGTTCGTATTTTGGTTACACTGTTGCGCTGCTAGGGTCCTGAGCAGGGAATTTGGGAGTTTGGTGCCTTGTCGAGTCCCGACTAACTAGTTCTTTCGCTGCGGTCTCAACATTCGGTTTTGGGGTTTAAGGGTTAAAGGGTTTAGAGTTTAGGCTTTAGTGCTTAGGTTTAGGGTTTAGGGAGGTTCGGGAGCAGAGCCGCGGCTTTAAGATTGCCACGGCTTTTGGCTTAAGCGTATATAGGATCCCTTCGTGGTTAAGCCGCTCGCAAAGGGCTTTCTCAGGCATAAGCCGTCCGAACCCTAATCAGCATCTTGGAAACAAACCCCAAGGACGTGGAGAACTCGCCTTATATTGGAAGCTTTCATGTCCAGGATCTCCCTCGAAGCTGTGCGATAAGTTGCTATTTTCCCACGCGTACCGGACGATGCAGCGTGAGGTTTGGGTGTACGTAGGGTTGAGGATCTAGGGTAGACCCTAAACCCTAAAACCGAAACCCTAACCCCTGAACCCTTTTAGGCGAACCTCAACTGTAACCCCTTCTTGGTGCAGTCTCCCGGCAGTCAGAACTTCAACGGAAGCTTTCTGCGACATGGCAGCTGCCCATATGGACTTAGGGGCTTAAGGTTGGAGGTTTAGGGATGGGAGGGTTTATGTACGGTTATAGGGTTCAGGGGTGCGTATAGGGTTTAGGGTTTAGGGTTCTGGTTTTGGGGTTATAGGGCTTGAGGGTTATTAGACGGATGCCAGCTCGTGCCATTGGCGGTTAGGGTTTAGGGTCTAGGGTCTAGGGTTTAGGGTGGGTCTTGGCTTTCGGGAAACCTGAAGCAAACTTTCTCAAGGGGTACCTTGCAGGGGATTCCGAATTTGGGGATCTGAAAAATGGGGCAACTATATGTGCCTTTCGGAAGACTACTCCTTTCAGTGTTTTTCCAGGCATGCTTCACGTGGCTAGTCAGAGACAGGAGCCACGGAGACTGCAGCATTCGCTCCAAGAATCCATTACCCTCGGAGTCCATGTACCTAGACAGGGAAAACTTGGGCCTTAAAGTACTTGCTATACTGGGGGGCCAAGTATATCACAATGAGGTACATAGACCCCGAGGGTTAGGCATGTCACACAACCAAATATGAGAACGAGGTGCAATGGAATCCGGGTGGACGACCAGCTACATGTATCAACCTGTAGTGCTCCTTTCTCTTTCCACCACGAAAGTCGCAAGCCCTAAATACATCTCCCTGGCATCCCGCATGCGACATTGGGATGAAAGAAGAGTCCCCAAACCAGACTAGAGATTAAAAGGTAGGATTTGGGATGCATCGGACTTCGACAGAAGAGAGCGAGTAAGCGACTCGATTTCTCAAAGGCCTGGAGTCACAATGCCACTCCTCAGAGAATCTCAGGAGCCTATCGTCAACGCGTAGCTGCGTCACTAGGCTCCCCAAGTAGTAGCACAAAAGAACCGCGAAAGCGCTTCAAAAGGAGCATCCTCGTAAAGCAATCCCAAACCCATAACCCTAAACTCTAAACCCTGAATCTGGAGCCACTCCGACGTGCCTCAGGGCCGTCGGTCAAGATCACGCGCCGGGCTCCTGCTGAACACCCGGCTCGGGTTCCGACTGGATCTCCTTCTCAACTACAGAAATGTAGGGGCATGTTGAACAGGCATTTGTGCAAGAGGTTGAAAGTAACCTTCATCATTCAAAATTGTTGCAAGGGGTTGCGTCAGACCCTAGCATGCGACCTTGCAGCTGCCAAAGGTAGGTTGTGGCAGCTCTCACAGACAGTTGAGGTGCAAGCTAAACACCAAACCCAACCAGCTGCTCCAACTCAAAACTGCTGTGGAAGCCGTCCACTCTGTAAAGTAATTGGGCATACGAATCCTCCACAGATGCGCAGCCTTGTTTTGGCTGCTGTCAGCTAGTACCACAAAAGGTGTCCTTAAGTACAAGCAAACGAAGCAAGCCCAATGCAAAAGTGAGCACACACGCACACCGAAAGATCATCACTGTAATCGCAGCACCCTGCACAACACACTTCCCTCACCCTAAATCGATAATCTAACAGGGTCCAGATGTGTAAGTTAAATCTTAAATCCTAAGCCCCACACCCCAACTTTAAATCGGAACCCCAAAGCCCAGAGCCCAAACCCTAAGCCCTAAACCCTCAACCCTAAACCCCAGACCCTAAGCCACAAACCCAAAGCCTCGACCCTAAACCCCAACACCCTCAACCCTCAACCCTAAAACCCTGAACCCTAAACCCTGAACCCTGAACCCTAAACCCTAAACCCTAAACCCTAAAACCCTAAACCCTAAACCCTAAACCCTAAACCCTAAACCCTAAAACCCTAAACCCTAAACCAGCCCCGGTCCGCCGTCGCGTCGGAGCAGGGACGCTGCGGCAAGACCAGGCTGGGCGATGCACACATTCAAGGACTTACGCTGCGACCCCCCAAAGGGAGTTAGGGTGTTTAGGGTTTAGGGTTTAGGGGTTTACGGGTTGGGGTTTAGGGTTTGGGGATTAAATTAGGGTTGAGGGGCTCCTACCCTGGGACCCCTATGAAGTCACACTTACGCGTACCAATCGGGCCACTCCTGGCGGCTTGCGATTCAGAGCTTGGCATGGCGTAGCCTAAACCCTTAACCGTAGCAACCCAAAAGCAAACTAAGACCCTCAAGCCCTAAAAGCTCTAAACCACAAAAAGCCCTAACGCCCCGAAAGCCTATACCATGTTCCCTGAATAGGGGTCCAGGGACCCATCAAAAAGCCCCAAGCCCTAAACCCTAATGGCCCTAAAGGCCCTGAAACCCTAGGTTGAGCTCCAAAAACACTAAACCCCAAACCCTAAACCCTAAACCCTTCACCCTAAACCTTAAAACCCATAAGACCTGTCGCAAGACATGCTCAGTCACAGGCCAGGCCGCAGCCAGCGCCCAGCTCCAGCACCACCTTTGGGTAGAGGAAGAAGGGCTAGGGTTTCGGGTTTAGGGCTTAGGATTTAGGGTTTAGGGTTAGGGCTTAGGGTTGAGGTGGTCTGCGGTTAAGTAATGGCTTACGCGGCTTAGGCGGCTTAGGGATTTTGGGTTTGGGCAGTTTGGGTGACTTGGGGCGTAGCTGGCTTAGGGTTTTGTGTTTTGCATTAAGAAGGTCCACATAAACCCTGCACCCTACCGGGGTCCCACTTCCCAAAAAAACACGCTACTTTACATGACCTGAGGGCTGATTAACTCGCGGGATTTCGGGTTAGAGGGCAGATGTAAAGTGCAGCCGAACGAGAATACTGAGTGCCTTGAGTGTATGAACGCCTCTGTTACCACCACCGGTGCTCAGACACCAGTAGGCTTCAGGCATCAGGCTAAGACGTCGTGAGCAAGCTACAAACAAATGGCTCGACCCGATGCTCAGACAAGAAGGACATTGCCTGAACTGTCGGGCAAAAATGCCAAAGGTTGCATAGACCCTGAACCCTAGATACAAAAACCAACAAAAGCACTCCGAGCCCGACAATCCCGACGGCATTTCCGACAGCAGCCGCTTTCCGCTACATATATATATATATACACATACATATACACATCAAAACATATATACATAAACAGATATATATATATATATATCTATATATATACAACATATATATATATAGAGAGAGAGAGAGGGCCTCTGATTATCTAGGAAGTACATGATGCTCACGGCTTGGCCTTAGGGTTGGTACTCATGTAGGCTCCTGCACCAGCTGCCTGGCTGAAGTTGCTGAGGAGAAAAAAGCGAAGCTGGAGTGGGGGGGGGGGGGGGGTGGGGCATGCGAATACCCCAGAAGAGGTTAAAGGTTGTGTAGAATCAAAGCCCCAAAAACCCTAAACCTTAAACCCCAAACCCTAAAACCTAAACCCTGTAAACCCTAAACCCTGAAAGTTCAGGGCTTCAGTAACTCCTGGGGGCCCAGGCAGTGGCGTCTGAGAGGAGCTCGGGCCTCGTGCACGTGAGGGGGGGCGAAGGTAGGATACACAACAAGAGGAGTGAGGGTTTAGGGTTTAGGGTTTAGGGTTTAGGGTTTAGGGTTTAGGGTTTAGGGTTTAGGGTTTAGGGTTTAGGGTTTAGGGTTTAGGGTTTAGGGTTTAGGGTTTAGGGTTTAGGGTTTAGGGGTTTAGGGTTTAGGGTCTAGGGTCTAGGGTTTAGGTTTAAGTTTAGTGTTTAGGGTTTAGGCCTTGTACCGTAGACATCCTAAAAGACGACGATAGCTAAGGTAGAGCTTAGGTTAACTTCGGGCTTCGTTTTGCTGGCGGAGTGGGAGCCCCTGATTTGGGGGTTCATAGGGTTTGTAGGGCTTAGGGTGTCGGGTTGAACACGCTCAACCCCCGAAGCCCCTAAACCCCTAAAACATTGGGATGCCGGAAGTTGGGCGCGTCAGAGAGGGAGTCATTGAAGATTGCAGTTGAGGTTTCGGGCCTTGTTTAGGGCTTACGGCTGCATGCAACACGGCGCCAGGGCACACCCAATGGCGCGACTTCCCATGCTCGAGTCACCTTCCTCAGCAGCACACGTGACAGCAGCCATTTCTGCACCAAGTTTATCATCTCAATTGTGCGCTTGATCAAATTCAGAGCATCTCTAAAGTCAACGACAAGTTCCCGCATAGACTCCGAATCTTCCTCGTCGTCAAGCAGATGGGTAGATGTCTCGTGACAAGCAGAGTCAATCCGCCTTCATGCAGACTGCATGATGCCAACAAGTGTCAACATGCACAACTGGGAGTGCGCTGAGAAGTAGAGTGATATCTTCGTAGCCATCATGACCTTCATTTCCTCAGGCTTGGGAAGGCTCTCGATCTGAGGGCTTAAGATCTAGGATTTAGGTTTTAGGGGCTAGGGTTTCGGGTTCAGGGGAGCTGGTGTCAATATCAAGCTGCTTTACCACTCCGGCTGCTTCCAGCGGAGGCTTTCTGAAATGATGGCGTGGCAACCGCAGGTGTGAAGGGTGTGCAAGGTGCACCTCATGACGTGGATTTTTAGTACCGCTCCCACCTGCAACCTATAAGCCCAAATGATACTACCCTAAACGAGTAATGACCCCAGACTGGCCCCGCAAAAACCTAAACTCTTGGCCCCTCAACTCAACCCTAAACCTACTTGAGTTTAGGGTTGATAGGGTCTAATATAGGGGCCTTGACATACAGGGACCATAAGGGAATACTATTAGTAATTTTTCCGACCCCTATGTGGCCCCTTGAAAAGGCCTCCGGCCTTGCCCGAAGCTGCGAGGCAAGAACGATTGCCTGGCACACGCTCGCCAAACCCCACCCCCCCCCCCCCATTTGAACCCCACTGTTGCTTGTACCTCCTGGGAGCTAGGTGCCCTTTCAAATCCGCAAGGGGCTCTGAATGCAGAGACGATGCACCTAATTCCCTGGGATCTAATTGCAACAGGAGCCTACCCGTTTGTGGTCCCGATTTGAGCAAACCGCATCGAAGCGCACAGGGCTGTTGTAAACACCGCTGTCCCTGTTGAGGTTCCGCTAGAATACGGAGCTGCTTATTTAGGGTGCCTCAATAGTGACCATAGCTCAGTCAGCGACGTCCATCCCTGCTCTCGCGGCTGGGCGTATTCGGGCTGCAAAAGATCTGCATGCAACTTGCAATAGGAGAAACTCCGGCTTGGGCTTCTTAAACCCAAAACCCCCCAAGCCTTAACACCCACAGCCCTGAACGGCTCCCTTTTGAGTATGGCTTTGGACAACACATGTCTGCCGCACACCTGGCCACACCATGCCACCTGCGACAAGGCTGGCTTGGGGCAAACCGACACACGAGATTTGGTTCTTCTGGAATTGCGAGACTTCATTAACAGCGTCGTAATGAAAAAGATAGGGCAAATGGTTCAGCAATCTCACTCGGACAGCTCATGCCATAAAACGAACAACTCCTAATGCAGGATGTAAGGATCAAGCAGTCTGCTTCGAAGCTGGCAAGACGCTTGTGCTTGTTCTACATGAGGGCCGCCTTTGTTTTGTGGGATCGTATGCAAAAGGGGATGCTATGGAATGAACAGCCACTAGCACTTGAGCCCCACAATCACGCGTTAGGTTCAGGCGTTCGGGTGCTGGGCTGGGTTGAAGTTCAGGGCATTGTTGCGCCTGTGCCACCCACGCCTGAGCATGGGTGTGCAGAGTAGGGAAACTCCTGCCGGCAAAACGCTGGGCTGTACCGTCCGAAAGGCTGCTGTGCATGTGCACGAGATACCCTGGTGTGTAGCTATAAATAGACAGAAGTATGCAAACAAGACTGACTAGACAAGCTGTCAATGAACATGTAAAAGAACAAATAACAACATATTAATACATGCGAATACAGAAACAAAACAAATGTATACACACCTACATATATATATATATGAAGATCGCATGTATATATATGTATATATTTGTACCTTTGGAACGAGTTGAGGGTGGGTTTATACGCCAAACCTACAGAGAGACGTGCTCAATTCAGCAGCTGCTGCGCTCGGTCCTGGATGATCACGTCTGGTGATGACGCATCGGAGCCTGTGGCATACCTGAAACAAGGCAAGGAGCTTCGGCAAGCAACATCGAGACTATTACCATGATTGTTGTTGAATCTGCTACTTGCTGGTGCTCCTGCTGCCGGGACATAGACTACTGCCGCAAAGATGCTCATGGCACCTTGTGAAGTGTGCAAGTGTCAATGCATCTGGTGGCATACGGGCCCCTGCACAAAGGCAAGGGCCACCTGCACTCTTGCCCGTCAGCATCTATGTAAGACCTAAAGGTGCCCTTCTGGAATTCCTGGGAGGCGCACGAGCGAGTGACGCGAAGGACGCCATCTTCCCAGGATCTGGAGCTCACTCTAGGGGTGTATGTGGTTAGACTGGGTACTTGTGTATATGCTCAATGTCGAGATTGCAGGGAGTGCAACGATGATGCAGAGCCGTGTTGCTCACTCTGCACTGCACAAGGCATTCCGAGAACAAACTCTAGCCCCAAACCACGAAACCATCAACGCCAAAAGCTAAAAACCTCAAACCTCAAACCCTGAAACTCCAAACCTGAAAATCTCAACCCTAGGCCTTCAATCTTAAAAACGAAAAGTCCTCAGACCAAAACGCTAAGCCTAAACCCAAAAGCCCAAAGCCCGAAACAATAATCCAAAACCCAAAATCCCAGACCCCTACACCCTGACCCTAAGCCCTAAACCCCAAGCCCGAACCCTACAACCCAAATCCTTCCACGCTAAACCCGAAGCCCTACGCCCTAAACCCCAAGCCCTAGATCCTAAACCCTAAACCCCAAACCCTAAACCCCAAACCCTAAACCCTAACCCTAAACCTTAAGCTCCCCGGTCCACTTCTGGCAGGGCCGGGGCCTGCTGAGGCAATCGCCCCAAGGGAGATCGCCTTCACCTCCAGAGTTGGGTTTAGGGTTTAGGGTTTAGGGTTTAGGGTTTAGGGTTTAGGGTTTAGGGTTTAGGGCTTAGGGCTTGGGGCTGGGGGTTGAGGACTTAGGGGGTTTCGGAAGTTAAGGGCTCATTGTGGTTTGGGGTTTAGGGTTGAGGGGTTTCGTGGCGGGGGCGCTAAGGCTTCATGTCCTGAGTCGGCTCTAAACCCGAGACCTTCTCTCAAGGTCCCGATAAGGAACAGTGTAGCTTTTTCAGGCTCAAGTGTTGTTTTGGGAACTTAAGCCCACAACAAGCAGGAGAAGCCCTGCATCCTTGCACAGAAGAGAACAAGAGCCTCATTACTCAGGGTCCTAGCATGTAACTCACCGGCTGAGCTGTCTAGAGCTCACGGATTGGAAAAAAAGTTTAGCTTTGAGTTTTAAGGGGCGTTGTGCTACATGTAGCTTTGTAGGTTAGCGGCTCAGCCGCACACTTAAACTGTAGACCCAAGCGGACCTGTGTCAGCTTTCTTCCGGAGATCCGAGAGGATCTCATCTGCCTCGGCGAACTCTTCATCCTGCACAAGACCCGCATTTTTGGGTCTGGGCATTCAGGGTTTAGGGCTAGGGGGTCGTAGGGTTTTTGGGATTCGAACTCTAGGGTTCCGGTAGCTGACGAGGGCTGGGACTGGGGGCGTGGGGGGGCATAAGAGGGGGAAGGCTGTTTCGGTTCAAGGAGCTTGGGCTAGCTACCTCAGCACAGAAACCATCTTATGATAAGGCCCGCCTTTTTGGCTGGTTACTTTGTGAGGCAAAATTGAACCAATAAAGGGTTTACGCGCAGCTCTGACCAAGACACTAGGCTCTTGTAGGATTTGGGGCACCGGCGCAACAACAGAGAGACTGGGAGAGGGAAGACCCACCCAATACTCCAAACGTACTACCGGGCAACCTAGGGTCACTCGTTCTCCAAGTGTTTGGATTGCTTGAAGCTTCGAAATGAATCTTAGAGCGTGGTGTAGCTATGTCATGTCGGAATCGTACATGAGGCTGGGGGTTCAGGGTTTAGGGCTTAAGGAAATGGCAACCCACACGACGAAGAATAGACTTCTCTTTGCGCCGATTTCTGTGCAAAGTGCAACTTCAAAGTCCCCTAAGAAGCCCAGGTGTCGCTGCGTCACTACCATCATCCTCCTGAAGCCCTAAACCCTACAAGCCCTAAACCCGAAACTCCCCGAGACCTAGACATGCTCCACCCTGAGCCCAAGAAGCCCTGAACCAAAAACCTGTAAGCTTTAAGCCCTCGACCCAAAAACCCCAGGAGCGGCCCTAAAAACCCTAAAACCCGACAACCCTAAAACCCAGAACCCTAAACCCCCTAAGGCCCTTAAGATCTTACAGCCCTACAACCGTGAACCTGAACCCCTAAAACCCCTAAAGCCCTTAAAGCCCTCAAAGCAAGAAGCGTACCTCAGGAGTTCGAATCAACCTGTCCCCCATGGCAGACGCACCACGCGGATGCCCACGAGCCCTTTCTCTTTGCTTCTGGTTGAGAGCTTTTGGGGTTGTTAGGTCTGTAGGGTTTTTAGGGCATTTAGGGTTGTAGGGCTTTAGGTGCTTTAGAATTGTCAAGGGCTTTGGGAGGTGTGGGGTTGATTGGATTTAGTGTCAGGTGCCCAGCTGGCAGAAGTTTAGGCTGAAAGACAAGTGCGTCGCACACAACAAGGGTACACCCTAGACATTCCCTACTCAGCATCTATATGTTAGCCTTGCCTGAAAATTGAGCAGGCTCTTCCCAAATAGGGTTTATCATGCTCCCCTTAGGAACCCTTATAAGCGTATGCTGCTCTCAACATATTATATATGCTGGCTCTTTAGATGCTTCCGCTGAATACCCTCGCCTCTGTAAACACCCAAGGGAATGGAGCTTTCTGCGAGCCAATGCCTCTAAAGAAGTGATTGCAAGCTGTGGTCTACGGTTCAGGGCCTAGGGTTTTGGGCACGACGAAGCCTGTCGAAACGTGCCTGCGCAATAACAGAAACAAAGATCCGCCCAGTGCCCCCGGCACATATGCGTAAGCATGCAATTTGTAAGAGGTATCCAGGACAAACATTCAGCTGTCAGAACAGTGGCCATGACGACAGAGGCGGCAACAGAATAGAAGCAACGACGAGTCAAAGACCACCGGCGAACGAACCAATTAACACCCGACAACATGCAGTAAGGATTTTGCTGCTAGCATCCCCAAAAGGACCCCCCGAGTCCAAAATCAGCAATATTAACCCTACACAAACAGAACAACTCCACAAAACACACCTGTTGCTGTGGCGTGTGAAGAGTGGATCAGGTCCTGTTTGTAGGAGTGTCTACCAAAACCAAACAATTTTCTACGGAGGTCCTAATTTAGAGCAACCCTCATACCCTCATGCGGGTGGAAACCGTGACGACCCCCCCAGCCCCTCAACCAACCCCAAGGCATGTTGCTTCGAAGCAGAAAAACTAGAATCCCCTTTGCCGCGCAGCCTCCCAACAGGCCTAGCACCAGATCTCGTTAAGTGCGCCTTCTGCTTTAGGGCTTTGACTTGGGGTTTGAGTCTCACAGGGTTTAGGGTTCAGGGCTTACAGGGTTTGGCGGGGGTTACTTCAAAGTGCGGTTTTGGTGCTGGAGGCAGGCTGCAGGCCAGGAGAGCCCATGCGAAAGTACGGTGAAACAGGAGGCAGCAGCGATGTGGGAGGAAGGCTGCCGATTGGCGCCCTGCATCCTCGTGTCCTTGTTCCTGCGGTCCTGGCAGTTCACGCAACGCCCCTCAGCGCGTTCAGCCAGCAGGGTAACCTCCACTGAACACCTGTCAGGGCAGAGCTTCCAGGGGTGTAAGGTTTGTGGTTCATAAGGTCCAGAGCTTCAAGGTAGACCCCACCCCCGCCCCATCCCCCAAGCACCCCTGCAAGATACACCAACGACCATCAGTCCCTTTATGATCAGTGCTTGTTCAAGAATGTGGCGCCGGTTGCGTCTCTAAGGGAGGGTGCTAGCCATGCATGCGACGTTGCGCCAGGCAAAACGCCAATTCGTGTGGTCGCGCCTGTGGCACCTAAAAGCCCAGAATCCCAGACTCTCGGAATAGTCAAGACCACAAGGCTTTTAGGTTTATGATTCCGCCGACTCTAAAACAGTGGAGCCATCTCCCAACCCTGGACCCTGAACTTACGCTGGAACCTCTTCGCCAAGTCTACTTGTCGATGGCCCGACAAGTGAAGCCTCATGCAAAGCCCACAAACCCTGAAAGCCCCAAACCCTAAACCCTAAACCTTAAACCCTCAAGCCGTCAAGCGCGCTAGAACCTTAGAGCTCAAAACCCAATAAGCCAACGTCCCAAAATCAGCCCTCAAACCCAAAAGCCCTTACACTTTTCAAACCCTAAATCCCAAACACTAAAAACCTAAAGCGATACCCTCACCCCAGAAAGCACAAACCCTAAACCTCAAAGCCCGAAAAGCCCCCTAAAGCCCAAACCCCTTAACCAAAACACCAAACCACTTAAAAGTCATCATTTGATATCCCCAGACCTGAGCCCTAAACAAAAAACCGTAAAAAAGCCTTGAAACCCCAATGAAATCTTAAGAAGCAGCCACACACGCACAAAAACCTTGCCTGAGAGACGATGTGCGGCTGAGCAGGCTTGGGGGCTGCCACCCTGGCCAACACCTGGATCAGGAGCATGAATGGGTTTCTGGTATTGAGGGTTAGGTTAAGTAGAGTATATGGTTTGGGGTTGTGGGGAAGGGTTTTGGGTTTAGGGTTTAGGCTTTAGGGCTTAGGGTGTTGGGTGTTGGGTTCAGGTTGGCGTACTAGTGTCACCCTTCACCCGTTCTGCCCCAGTTGATACGTCATGTCATCTATTTGACTGGTGCCTGATCTGTCACAATTTCGACGCCCTTAATTACAGCCCGCGAAGGAAGTACCTAAGCAGCTAAGTCGCAGCTCAGACCGAGCAGTTCTGATTCTCCAGCATTTCGGCCCAGCCGGACGGCTTTCAACCGCACTGATGACTGGAAAAGGCTTCCCGCTGGAGCACAGTCTCACAGAAGCCCAGCTGCCTTGGAACCCGCAGCGCACGTCCAAGTGTTGTTTTAGAGGCCGAAGAACTTTGCCGGCTTTCTGGCATGCCCCTCGAGCGGTGTACGGTTTAGGGTATCGGTATAGGGTTTAGGGCTTACGGCCTTTACGGCTATTCCCTACAAACTAAGGAGGCAGTTGCTGCTAAACTGTAGGTAATTGGAGTTAAGCTCCCTAATCTCATGAAAGGTAGTTCAACCTCAAACCGCAAAACGCTGAACAAACCTAACTTAAACACCTGAAGACCATAAATAAAGCCTTCGCGCTCTCATAGAAGTACAGACTGCAGAGGCCCCCAGCACAAAACGATCTCCCGCCTCGTGGCCGGCCTTTGTCCCGTAGAGCCCAGCCGCCTGGGGAAATTGAGGACGGGGCTTGGGCGTTTCATACCCTTTGGCTCAAAATAAACCCAACAGCTGCTGGACAAAACAAGACATCGAAACAAGAGTCCTAAACTCCAGACCCCAAAGCCCGAACCCACAGAGATAGAAGCCCTAAACCCTAAACCATAAACCCCAAGCCCCAAAGCCCTAACCCTAACTTGACTGGACCCAGGAGAGTAACCTAGGAATGAAAAGGGTGCCCTTTCTTGGTTTGAAATGGGCTTTTCTAAGGGAACCTAAGCCCGGGCCGAGGCTGGGTCCAAGTTCAAGGTCTGGGAAGCCAGGGTTCAGGGGATCCCAAGATTCCGAAGCCTCCAACCATCTTTACAGGGTTTAGGGTTTAGGGTTTAGGGTTTAGGGTTTAGGGTAGGGCTCTGCGGACTGTCTCTTTTGTGTTTGGTGACTTTGTTGGGGTTTTGGGGCAGGGTTTAGGATTTAGGGCTTAGGGTGTTAGGATTTAGGGTTTAGGGCTTACTGCTTAGGAGGGGCAACAATCTTGCTATGAGCGGTGTGCTGATTCTGTGTTTCTTGCTTGCGCCACACGCTGCACATGGCTTACCGGAAATAGCCAAGCAACAGGCTGTATGGGTTCGTTGAACCCCGTAAACCCCGTAAACTTATTCTACAATGTCTAAGGAATGCACAGATAGAACTTTATTATTCCTACAACACAAGGAAGCACAAAAAACTTGGAGTTCAATTACGGACTACGCAAGTAAAGACAAAAGGAAACCTACAAAACCTACCCCTGTAGGGGCCTGGAGCGCAGACGAGAGCTTGTACCTTGCGTCAGCCATCAGCGACTTCTCATCGAAGCCCGCATGAGGCCTGACCAAGAAACATTTCAGGGCTGAGGGTCTAGGGCTAGGGTACCCTAGTCCCTGCAAAGCCCTAGGCCCCTAGAACCCTAAGCCCCGAAAGCACTAAAAACTCGTACGCCCCAACAATTGTATACTCACAACCAGAGCTCTGAAATCTTGGCAGTAGCAGTGAGGAAAAGAATAAATTCTCCGACCCACGAAAAGCTCTAAACTTCAATCCCTCCATCCTTCCACATTCAATCAAAACCCAAACCTGCAAGCCCTCTCCACAAATATAGAGCCCGAAAAGCCCTATAAACCCTACAAGCCCTATAAACCCGACAAGCCCTACAATCGCTAAAAAACCCTATAACCCTATAACCCTACATCCTGTAAACCCTGGACCGCAAACCCCCTAAACCTTAAAAAAAAAACGAAAACAAACAAACAAAAAACAAACCCCAAATCCCCTAAATTCAATGAATCCAAGGTCATAAACACCCTAAACCCCCCCAAGCCCTACAAACCCCCTTCCTACCACCTTAAACCCCCAAAAACCCGAAACTGCCTTGATCCTAACACTAAACCCCAAGCCCGAAACCCTAAACCCTAAATCCTAAACCCAAAACCCTGAAACCCAAACCCCTAACCCTAAACCCCTATAGGCCCTGCCAGGGGGTCCCCCTCCGGGCCCGCGAGTGACGCAAACCAGCGGGTCGCAGTAGGCGTCTGCGGAGAGCCGTGCTGGAGCCTCTTGAATAGGGGGGGGGGGGGGGGTTTAGGGTTTGGGGTTTTATGGTTTCGGGAGCCAGGGTGTCAGGGTGGGCTTGGGTGTTGCAAGGATTCACAGTAGGTAGGTTGTTCAAGGCTTTCAAGGCTTTCAAGGCTTTCAAGGCTTTCGGGCTTCAGAAGACTTTCGGGTCTTGGGTTGGATGGTCAAGGGTTTAGGGTTCAGGGTTCAGGGTTTAGAGGATGGTCAAGCCTCGTTTTAAGCCACATCGGCAAGGAAGCTGATGATTCAACGGAACAAAACGAAACTCAGCAGTTTAGGGTTTAGGGTTTGGGGTTTATGCCCTACAGGTCCATGTGCCTAAGTAGGGAGTACTTTTGCCTTAAAGTGCTTCCTATACAGGGACTTTGGGGCCCAAGTATGCAATAATGAGGTACATGGAAAACCTTTGGGATCCCCTTCTCACATTGGCTTGTTGTTGATCCCTTTCCTCATGGCTTGCAGTCTTAGGGACAATATGGGCCTTCCTTGTACCCCCTTATATACCCCATAAAACCTAGGGGCCCATACTTCAGAACCCTTTAAAGAAGGCAAGGGGACCAGACTAATAGGGACCAGGGCGATGCCGGGAACCTCTTAAGGGATCCCCGTGACCTGCTGGGGAAGTGACGGCTATCCTCTGCTTGAACCGCGGTTTAGGGTTTAGGGTTTAGGGTTTAGGGTTTGGGGTTTGGGGTTTGGGGTTTAGGGTTGCAAGTGCCGTGTTGTTAAGGTGACAATACAGGTTGCCTTACTTCCTTCCCTACTTAGCACTACCCATGAACCTTCAAGTGGGGTCAATAAATCGTAATAGGGGACTATAGACGCTTCCCGAAAAAGGTACCTTGACAAGGCCGCCTTTCTCGACTTCCAAGAAATACCCCGAACTCCAAAAAGCTCTTGCCCTTTATGCCTTATAACCCGAAACCCATAAAGCCTACCAACCCAGCAACCCTAAACCCTAAAACCCCAAACCCTCGACGCCCCTAAACAAAAGTCCGTGTGCACCCAAAAACCTGGGTCCTAAACCCTAAACCCTAAACCTTACACCCTAAACCCTCCTGAATCCAGCCCAAAAACCGAAAGTCCTAACATCCTGGGGCTTCCCCGGCCTTGTGCAGCCTTGCGGGGTCGCGGGGTGCCTCCACCCTTAGCTTCTCCTGGCACTCGGGGAGGCTCGGGTTTAGGGTTTAGGGTTTAGGGTTTAGGGTCCAGGGTTCAGGGTTCAGGGTTTAGGGTTTATCAGCTGGCGGAGGTTTTGCTAGCTGCCGCCACTGGGCTTCTTTCGGGCTTCGCAAAGAAAGGAAGCTCTCTATTTGAGGTTAACCCAAAACCCTCTAAAGCCTAAACCCGAAAAGAACCAATCTCGCGGAGGCCTCTGGGCAGTTGTGTTTCGTAGTTTCCTGCACCCTTAACCCTGAATCCTAGACCCGAAACCCTAAACCCGAATGTCCCCAAACCCCAAACAAAGCCCACGACGATGCCCTGAGACACTAGCCTGGGCGTTTAGAACCTTCAGCAACAAAAATGCGAAGATGTGCGGCTTTTCGGGTTTTTAGGGAGAAGAGGTATCCTCATTCAGAGAGTGAACCCAGATGAAAAGGCTCGGACCATCGCCCTCTCCAGCGCCGCCGCCCGCTCCAAATGCTCCTTCGTTTTCGGGGTTTGGGGTTTAGGGTTTCAAGGGTTTGGGGTTTAGGGCTAGTGATTGTGGGCTCGGCAGCTTAGGCCCCAAACCCACCAACCTTACTCTCGCTAAATCCCGAAGGCCTACACAAAACTCAAAACACTGGGTCTCCATACCCTAAGCCCCAAACCACTGAACCCTAAACAAAGACGGGGGGTCCAGAGCGCAAGGGTTTTAGGATTACAGGTGGGCGTTGGGATGTTCCCGTTATACTAACAGTCCTTATCCCTAAACCTGGTCGGCTTCAGGACTCCGGAACCTCCCGACGTTTTAGAGCGCGAGCCGGGCAGGTCCTGCTCCAAAGCGGCCCTCTTCTGTGCCGCCTGTGCTAGGTTTCTCGTTCTTCTTGGGGTAATTACATGGTACCCAGTATATACCGCTTAGATTCCCCCTTACAAATTCAGGGCCCATGCATCAGAATCCTATAGTGGAGGTACGGGACCATACTAAGGGCACATGAAACTACCCCTAGAGTTCTTCAACCCAAAACCTTGCAAATTATTAGAGGTTGAAGCCCCCGAAATATGGGTGGTATCGGCTCCGGAAACTGTAGGTACTTTCTGTATACCCAAAGCCCTGCAGGTTGGGATGTTGAGGGTTACGGTCTACCCACGAACTATTTGGGGTATAACCAAGCCACAGTGGCAGGAATTTGGGGATGCAGCAGCTACACCCCCCCCAGAAACACAACACAATCGAAATAATGTAAAGTAAAAAAAACAATATATATATATATATATAATATTCCTATGGGTTTTGTATGTGAACAAAGTCAAACCAACAAATAAAGCATGAACAACAACAACTAGCCCTGAGCTGAAGGGATTTTCCTGAGAATGATGACGCACAATCCTAGCACCCTAACCCTAACCCCTGAACCCGGAGACCCTCGACTCAAGACTCAGTGCACGCCTTGCCTCTTGCCGCTTGAGATCCTCCATCTGCCTGAAGAGCACCAAGAGGTTTAGGGCTTAGGGTTTAGGGTTTAGGGCCTAGGGTTTAGGGTTTAGAATATTCCGGGCTTGGGGTTTGTTTCCGGCCTAGGGCTTAGGGTTCATGGGGTTTGAGGTTTAGGGTTTTCTGGGATTGGGTGGCTTGAGAACCCTAATCCTAAACCCTAAACCCTAAGTTGCAGTCCGATGCATCTGTGGAGCAAAGTTTATGTTTGGTACAGGACGGGCTGTACAGAGCTACCTGTATGACCCGAAACCCGAAACCCGAAACCCCAAACCCCAAACCCCAAAACCCTAAACCCTGACTCTATGCGTAGTTCTCTACAACAGGAGGGTCCCTTTTCTGGAGTGTGGGTCCTTGGGTTGTATCATAAGGCGGAATGTAAGGGAGTCCCCTTTTAAGGGCCCATGATAAGGACCATAATGTAACAACCCTAAGATGCCCTAAGATCTTTCAAAGGGCTGCAGAACCTAAACAGGCCCACCAAAAATATGTTAGGGCAACTTGGGGAAAAGGGGCATGAGTTTACAGAGTGTGTGGCCACACAGCCATGGCCAAACTCGTATGAAGTATCCATGAAGACCTTTCATCTTGAAGGCCCTAGAACCCTAAAACCCTGACCCGAAAACCCCAAAGCACCCTAAGCCAGCTTCATCACCAATCCCAAAAACCCTAAACTCTAAACCCATGAGCCCTAAACCCCAAACCCTGAAAACCTTCCAGGGCCCCGCACTGGCGCAAGGCAACCACCTCTGCATTGCGCGCCATGCGCTGGCTGCGCGCCTGGACGCCGAGCTGGCGTTTTCAGGTTTGAGGGCAGGATTTTAGCCATGACACCCTAAACCCTAAACACTACACCCTTCAACGGGGTTGAGGGTTGAGGGGCTCCAGACAGGTTTTTGGCTGGGGCTGTTGTGTGCAAGGTTGGAAAAGGGTCGACTACACTACACCCCAAGCCCGAAACCCTAAGCCTCAGGGGTCGAAATTTAGAGTGCCCCAACCCTAGAACCCCAAATCCCTAAACAGTAGACCCCTAAAACATTAAACCCTTAACCTTTAAAACCCTGAAAGCCTGAACCCTTTCGAGAGGGAAGCCTCCCTAGAGCGCTACCCTCTTCAGGGCTCCGGGCTTTATGAGGCTGGGGCCCTAAAGCCCGAAGCACCTGAAACGTGATCTAGGCTGGACTTCACCCCGGAACTTTCTGATAGCAAAATTCATCATCACTCGAGAACTCAAACCTCCAGAATCCCTAGGTTTAGGGTTTAGGGTTCAGGTCTTGGGCCACGCTAATCCTTCTAGGGCTTAGGGATTCGGACTTTAAGCTAATCGTAAACCCTAACAAACACCCCAAAGTCAAGACCATCCAGCCCAAACCCCAGGAATCACAATCCGGAGAAAACCGAGATGAACTAGGTGTCAGAGTCACCTTGGAATGAAAAGAATACTCTTGTTGCTTGAAGATGCGGTTTGTACGGGAAATTGACCCCTATCAAAATGGAATAAGAGCCCGCTCGAACCTAAACCTTCAGCTTATTGGCTGGGCTCTCAGGGGGAGGTGGAGTGAGTGTTTGGGCTGAGGGTTTAAGTTTAGGGCTCCACTTTATGGCTGGGAGGGCGGCGGGGACGAACAGAACGTTTGTTCGTTTAATGGGGAAGACCCTGACATACGAGTTCTTGCAGCCTCTCGATGCTCTAGACCCAAAACCCAAAGCCCCCGGTTGACTGCCCAATCCCAAACCTAATCTGGCCAGGGCGTCCAGCCTGGAAAGCAACAGGGGCCGGAATGATTCCCAGTATCATTCCCTGACAACCCTTCGATATGTGCATGATCGATACCAAAAACCCATTGTCCGGACCAATGCTTCATTCGGGACTTCTCTTATATATGGGACCTATGAAAGGAGGTAAGGTATCCTGCGTGCAGAAGAAGCCCCAAATGACCCCAAGCCCTCTCCAGCGGTGCTTTTGCTCATCTCAAGTCAGCTCGAAGCCAGGCTTGTGCCAAATCACCCGACCTTGCTCTCGGACAGTCCTGCCCAACCAATCTTTCCTCAGTGGCCACATACTACGCGCCAAAGCGGGCTCGCGCATTCGAGGAGCACCGCGTGTACTATTTCTAGCATTGCGACTGTAGACTTGGCTCCTTTACCAACTCAAAAGTGTCAGGGATATCACAGGCGCAGCTACTACTGCGGCAGGCCGAAAGTTCGCCGCACTCACAACGTAACACAAGAGGATGGCGAAGACCCCCTCTCCCCCTTAGACTCCTGCACTCCAAGAGTGCCAGGTCCTCCTCCGGAACACAATAAAAATAGTATATGAATTCTAGGGGATTAATTCCTCCACTGGCCAGGCTAAGACAAAACCATGCAGTACTCCGCTGTCCTCCGTCAACTATGTGTTGCCGAGAGCGACGAAACTTTGTTCCCGGTCATGTATAATGAAAGTTGTGCCCTTCAGTGCATGAACCAGTCCAGCACTTACAGCTGAATGTGGCGAACAGCCACGAAGTGCTTTACCAGATACCAAATGTGCTTAGGCCGCACAACTTGGATCCGCAATCCTGCGACATTTACCTCGAGCTCAAGTCTGGCTCAAACCGTGCATTCCTGACAGTATTGTATGAGATACTCCTGCAAGATAAGATCGTAATATGCAGTGCCCAGATTGCACCAAGCAGCTCGTCCGTGCACGTCCACGTTTCGTCATATTGAGTCCAGCCGCTGTCGCCTGAAGCTTTGACGTGTTCAGGCCGGGCTCCGACAACTCTACACAGCCAGGCTTCTGTGCATGCAACATGCGCAGCCCTAAACCCCTATAAACCCCAAACCCTACACCCTAAACTGCAGGAGGACGATTTATTTTGCGCGCATTCTGCAGCACTGCTCGTCCGAACTGTCCTAGCTGAGGGTGCGAGATTGGCCCTACAAACCCTTTGACAAGTATTCCTACTTAAGATCCCTCATCACTTAATAAACTCCAAGAACAAGGTGAGATGCTAACTGATTATAAACTAGCACAAGGCCCTACCTGGATTCCGACCCAAAACTCTAAGCTGAATGCCAGGAAGACACTGCGCCCAAAGCTACAGGGAACCGGGGCCATAAGCCCTCTCTTGAGGTTTGGCCGAACTTAGGGAGCATGGGCTCTTACAGGGGCCCTTGCACCACCCTGGCTTAGGGTCCTAAACCCTAAGCCCTAAACCAATTTGGGGTTTAGGGTATGAAAGAGGCTGTGAGGGTTCCGAGGGTCGGAGCCCCAAACATCCGTAGCTCATGAGATCTTCTATTGAGAGATCACGAAGAAACGGTTGAATGAATTCATGTAGACCAGCAAATCGCACAACAGAAGTGGTAACATACCCAAGACAAGAAGAACACCTTGTGGTCATCAGAGTGTAGGCTTTCACGGATGGAGTGGCTCTTGACCGGCACAACCATGATTTACTCCAATCGTTGGCCGGTAGATTTCAACAGACATTGAACCATGACCCGACCACCGGAAGGACAACAGCGCGGATTCGGAGAGATGAGGCGGCGTTTCATCAAAACCCTGAGGCGCCCCAAGGGCCCGAAAGGGATCTCGGTTACAGGGTGTCAGAGGCACTTTGGGGTCAGCCAGGTCAAAACACTGAACCCTAAACCCGAAAGATGCCACTGTTCGTGTAAGTGCTTCCGGTGGACCTGCGGGGGCACCGCTGCGTATTTTGTACGGAAGCAAGGTTCAACTGTGGGCGAAGCAAGCCTAACGGCCTAACCCTAAGAGCCCATGTACCTCATTCTTCTATACCTCTGCCCCAACATCCCTATAGAGCAAGTACTTTCAGGCCTCAAGAACATTCTCTTCAGGCACCTGGACCCTAAAAGGTTAACCTCCCCAGACAGGCCTGGACCCCACCCGAAACCCTAAACCCTATAAACCCTAAACCCTAAACCTTAAACCCCAAACCCGGCCTGGACCCCACGTCTCCGCGGCAGACAGGAGCTTGGCGATCTTCTGGGGATCGGCGCCTTTCCTCGATTTGCCCGTGTGCGGGTCCCAGTCGTGATTCTTTTTGGTAGACAAGGTAGTTTAGGGTTTAGGGTTTAGGGTTTAGGGTTTAGGGTTTAGGGTTGAGGGCCGGTAACCAGATTGTAATGAGGGCCCCATAACCAAAATAACAGGGTAGAGGGCACCGCTGCGGGCTTGAAGGGTTGGTGCGCTGCATGGTGTGGGCTTAGGGCTTCGGGCTTTTTTGGGTTCTCAAGGACCCTAAGCCCTAAATAGCCCTAGACCCTAGACCCTAAACCCTAAACCCCAAACCCTAAATGCATTCTCAACTTTATAGGCTTGAAATGACTTTCTTGTGCCATGCGGCTGCCCAGCCGCGTGGCCGTGCGTCATCGCAAGGAAGTTCATCGACGAGGGCGCGAAGCGCTCTCCAAGGAAGCGATCCTGCATCAGGACCTGGACTTTTGGGGAGCTTGGGTGGAGGGTTTGGGGTTGAGGGTTTAGAATTCAAGGCTAGGGTTTAGGGTTTAGGGTTTAGGGTTTAGGGTTTAGGGTTTAGGGTTTAGGGTTTAGGGTTTAGGGTTTAGGGTTTAGGGTTTAGGGTTTAGGGTTTAGGGTTTAGGGTTTTTAGGGTTTAGGGTTTAGGGTTTAGGGTTTAGGGTTTAGGGTTTAGGGTTTAGGGTTTAGGGTTTAGGGTTTAGGGTTTAGGGTTTAGGGTTTAGGATTTGCGTATGGCGGTTGTTCGGGGCATATGGGGTCTGGACGGTTGGTTTTGTTTGGGCTCAAGGCATGTGATGTTAAGTGTTGATTAGCAATGTGGTTCAGAATTGTGCGACATGTCGCAGAATCAGAATTGCAACAGGTGGTTCGTACTGGTGTGAAATATTGCCGAAACAGCATTACAAGTGGCCCGGAATGGTTGAGGAAACACAATGCGCACTTTTGACATTCAGGCCGCCCTGGTCTCTGAAACTCTACTGGCCGAGCCCGGAAACCAAGGCTTCGCGTTGAAAAACAGCCAGGCGGTCAAGTTTTCGAGGGTAGTTCAAGATAGAAGAAGCTCCGGAGAAGAAGCTCCAGAGAAGCCGGTTCTGAGAGGCGGTAGAGGCCGTTCCCTCCCCAAATAATTCACCTCAACGCCAAACCCCAAACACCAAACCATACCCCTGTTCAGAGTGCTGCTAGGAGAGGAGTGACACTGAGGATCACAAAGCCCTCTTGCCTTGTGTTATTGCTTTTTGCCCACTGCTCTTGAATTTTTCATGCGACTAAGTGACAAGTGGCTGTCTATTCCCCAAATAATTAGGGGGTTCCCCTCATACATCCCCCCCACCCCCTAACATACAAACCATAATTTCACCGGAGCTTGATATGTGGCTGCCAAGCCATCACGACACCCTCCTGAACCCGACACCCGAAACCGCACAGGATCTAGGGCTTAGGGTTTAGGGAAATTCTGAATCTTGTGATCGGAGTAAAGGCTCTCTGCGATCCGGCCTCCACACAGAGCTCGTCAATGATGGCCATCTGTGCCTGCACGCCAAAGTGGTTTAAGGAGATCATGGCATGATCAGCACCACCACAACCACCACCACCACCACCACCACCACCACCACCACCCAACAAGAAGGAGGAGGAGGAGGAGGAGGAGGACGAGGACGAGGACGAGGACGAGCACGAGGACTACTCCTGCTGATACTACTGCATGATACTGGAACTAACCGGATCTCTCTCTCTCTCTTTCTTTCTATCAGCCCCTGTCGAAATATTTGCCGAAGTTGAGCTAGGCCCTAAACCCTAAACCCAACCCCTCCACCCGCTCTCTCTTTTTTCTCTCCCTCTCTCGTTCTCTGTCGTTCTCTTTCCATTTTGCTTTTGTTTTGTTTGTTTCTCTCTCTCTCTCTCGCGCCAGCTGCGCCTCCAGAGCCTCAGTCGGGGACGGCCGCCGGCATGCCGTGACGCGGACTTCCTTGGAGCAAGCAAGAGGGGGCTGCTTTCCCAGTGTGAGGGTTTAGGGTTTTAGGGCTTAGGGCTTAGGGTTTAGGGTCTCGAGTTTGGGGTGGTAGGTTGGGGGTTCAGGGTTTCGGGTTCAGGGTTCGATGGGGTTCAGGCTTAACTGTTACTCGTCCAGCTTCCTACAGAACTGATTGCACTTTAACTTTCAGTGTTCAAACAATTAGCTAAGGTTTCTTTCTGGACTGCTACGCTAGGGTTGGGCTCAAGAAAGCCCAAACACCTCAGATGGAGTAGGTTGCGTTATTCCTAGTATCCCCCCGCGAAACACGCCAAATACATACAGAAAAAACACCCTTCAAAATAAAGAACCTGGTATACGCTCATAAATGACAACAACATGATGCCTGCTTCGAAGCATGGTCTTTGAGCGCAAAAGCTGTAAACGAAAAGAGCCTTCGGAGCCTTAAGTCTAGAGCTTGGGGTGGCTTGCAGACTTGCAGAATCTTGACGCCCATGGGCCCCAGTCATCTGCAGCCTGCTGGCCGCCCAAGAAGACTCGCACGGAGCCCTTAATCCCTAAACCCTAAGCCCTAAACTCTAGGCCCCTGAAACCCTCCCAACCCCACAAGCGATTGAGGAGTTTGGGGTTTAGGGTCTTGTGCAAGCGTGGTTCTACATTACAGCACCCCCAAATCCCAAAGACTCATCCAAATCCATGTATATATATATATATGTATATGTATAGTCTAGGGATCCGATGAAACGCCCAAACAAACTGAAAAGGTGCCCCAAACACATCCCTCACACACCAGAATCCCTAAACCCTAAACCCTAAACCCTAAACCCTAAACCCTAAACCCTAAACCCTAAACCCTAAACCCTAAACCGCTCCAAGATTTTGCCGGGCAGCTGCCTCTTCGACCTGGAAATTGAGGCTCCCAAGTAAGCAGCAGCCCCCGGGCGGGGCGTTGAGGTAGCCCCAGAAGGCCTTCGAAGAAGGAGGAGGGCTAGCTGTCGGACTGCGTGCAGGTAGCGGGACTGCTGGTTTAGGATTGTTTTCTGGTTCATGGTTTAGGGCTTTTGGGTGTATGCGGCTTCTGCTCTAGTGCTTGAGGATCAAGGAATAAGGGGGGGGGGGGGGGGGTGGAAAGTCAATGAAGAAGTCTCCTATAATCTCCGAACTTTGGGGGTTTAAGGCTGTAGGGCTATAGGGTTTGATTCTATTCCCACCCACTTCCCGGGATGTTCCTTCTCCTCCCCATTCTTTTCGAGGTCTCTGGGGGGGAAGGGACAAACCCTGGCCCTAAGTCTATGAACGTATCGAAGCCTGTATATCACCCGACAACAAGCCCTAAACCCTAAAAGCCACAACCCCACAAGTCCCTGAGCTGTTAAACCTCTGTCATCCCTTGGCTGCCTTCTCTGCAGCAAATTGCGGCCTGGGGCTCAACCGCAGGGCTTTGAGGGAATCATGTCGGGATGTTCCCCCTTATTCTAACCGTCCTTCATGGGGGTTGCAGTACCCCGCTATTAGTCCTTCATGGGGATTACAGTACCCCCCTATTATAATCCCCATTAAGGACTGTTAGTATTAAGGGCAGACATCCCAACATTCATGAATTCAGGCTCTGGGTGAGTTGGGCATTTCCCAAGATAAGGGGTACCCCGTTTAGACTTCAAATAGACAAGGATCCCGTTAAAGGGACCCCCAAAAAGGCTACCCCTATTTTCGGAAACCCCCAATTAGACCTAAACCCGAAACCCTAAACTTTGGCCTAAACTCCTAAACCAAAGAAGGACCTGGTGCGAACGTTTTTGCAGCACACAACAAAGTTGTGTGTGATACACAAACGTATGACTTGTAGACAGATGCAGTTATTCGTATTGTTAGTATCGGTTCCTCTTCTTATGATTGCTTGCATTGGTTACTTCTTTACAAATAGCAACAGCGATGAAAACACAAAAGAGTCACAAGAACAGGAAACCTTGAATTTACCGGCAAGCTAAACCACAAAGGCTGAATGGTTGCCTACTCGCACCGCAAAACCAAAACCCAAAACCCAAAACCCAAAACCCTACAAAGGGGCCCCAAACCCCCAACCTTATGAAGGTCGTCGAGTACTTGAATTTTCGCCGGAGGCAGATATTGGAGCTTTGGCTGAATGTTCTCTCCTCAACTAGAACTTAAGAGCACGAACGAACGGTCTCTAGCCGCATCGGAACAAACGCTAAACCTTAAACCCTAAAACCCTGAAGCTTGAACCCTAAACCCTATACCCTAAACCCTAAACCCTGAACCCTGAACCCTAAACCCTAAACCCTGAACTCTACCGAGGGGCAGATAGTATTGCGCCAGCGACTCGTGCACGCGCCGCAACTTCGAAGACTGCAGGGGAAACTCCTTTTGCGGGCTCCGAGGCTCTCGAAGTCTGGGGCGGCTGAGGGAAAAAATAGGGTTCGGGGTTTAAGGTTTGGTGTTTCGGGTAGTTTAGGGTTTGGGGTTTGAGGTTGCTCCGGGTTCGGGGTTTGCTTGGGACCTCGGGTTTAGGAGCCGAAGGGCTTAGGAAGTTTAGGGTTGGGGTTAAGGGTAGGGGAATTAGGCTTTAGGGTGTAATTAGTGTGAAGACATGCTCACGCCAAGGCCACCCATTCACAACTCGCAGCGAACCAGCGCGGAGCCCGCCCACACTAAGCCAAAGCCACTCAACATTCACGTGTGACACATGTTTAGGGTTTGGGGTTTGGGTTTTAGGGTTTTAGGGGTCAGGGTTTAGGGTTTAGGGTTTGGGGTTTAGGGTTAGGGGACGCTTGAGCCACTTGGGACACTTTGACACTTCAAAGGTTGGAGCACTTGGGACCCATGGGTGTTAGCAGCTTTTGGCGAACTTTCCTTAGGGTTTGAGGTTTGGGGTTTAGGGTTTATTATAGGGTTCATGGGGGCCGGGGGGGGGGGGGGGGGGGGGCGGGGGGCATTTCATGGGGGGTAGGTACCTAGGGAACCTTAGGGAGCAAATTATTAGGGAACCTTGGGGTACCTACCCCCCCCCCTCCCTGAAGAACCCCGTAATTTCAGGGCACTGGGAATACTTGGCACAAACCAGATACACTTCGGACTCGCGTTTGGTTCATTTGGGGATACCCTGAAACTTGCAGTAAACAAACCTGCAGTGGCACCCTAAACCCTAAACCCTAAACCCTAAACCCTAAACCCTAAACCTCCAGGGGCTCGTGCTTTTAGGATTTTGTTGAGCCATGATGAGTCTAAAGGCGAAGCCCTAAAGCCCCGGAATCGCCCCTAAACCTTAAACCAAAAACAGCCTAAAGGGTTTAGGGTGTAGGGTTTTACGGCTAACCTCTAAACTGTAAAAAGCCCTAAAGAGCGGCCCCCCGCAAAGCCCCAGGAAGCTGAACGCGGATCCTCCTTGCGCTCTTCCCAGCATTGGAAGGCATTGGCTCTGTCGAAGTTCTCTCCTGAGTCAGGAAGGCCTCTTCTTTGCACTTGCATGGGGCTCGAAACCCTAAACCCTAAACCCTACCCCTTTATACCCTAGAAGCCCCCTATGCCCAAAGCTACAGGACAGGGCGCCCAGCTTCTGAACAATGTCCGCCCGAAGCTCTGCTGCGCCCGGAAGTGGGGGGAAGTCTAAGCCGAAGACCTCAGGGGTCGGCTTCGGGCTTCATCAGGTTTGGGGCTTAGGGTTTGTGTTTTAGGGTTTAGGGTTTAGAGGTTAGGCGGTTAGGGTTTAGGTTTTTTTAGGGTTGAAATGTTCAGCTTGGGGGTTTAGGGCTTGCGGTGTTCAGAATTTAAGGTTGAGGGTTTCGGGTGTCTCAAAAATTAGGGTTTACCCAGAGTTACCTCGTACCCTGGCACTGTCCAAAAGGCTCGACCATCTCCTCCTATTCTGGGGGCTATGCCCTACTCAGGGGCTCGTAGCCGTGCGAACCCACTAGAATCCCACTAGTTTGTAGAGGGGAAACTGACTGACACTGCTGTTCCCGCCCCAAAGTTCTCCAAACACCAACTCAGCACCCCGGCCTCCACGACAAGCGGCTTGGCTGCGAAGTCCTGCTCCGTTGTTTAGGGTTGAACGGGTTTGGGGCTTTTGGTGTAGACACCCTCAATCCAATTCTTGAGTGATGTGCTCTTAGACACTTGTTCAGTAACCATCAGAAGGGCACATTTGCATCTGGGCTGCTGTACATAATCATGAACGGTATTCTGAGCTGTCTATCCCCGATGGCGGTAACCTCCCTGCGCCTTGCGGGGGGGGGGGGGGGGGTTTCGTTTAGAGTGTGGATTTGAGTCCTTGCCTGGGTGACTCGGCCCTAGACTTTTAACCCTAAACCTGAACCCGGCTTCTAAGGGAGACTCAATCCACAACCTCTAAGCTGTCTAGCCCTTGCACTTAGGGTTTAGGGTCTAAGGTTTAGGGTTTAGGGTTTAGGCTTTAAGGTTTAGGGTTTAAGGTTAGGGTTTAAGGTTTCGGGCTAGGGCTTGGGCTTAGGGGTTGGGCCCCGGCGTGCTTGGTTTGCTGTTGGAGCTTGCTTCGCACAGATTCAACGACCTCGACATCCTAAAGCCCCCGTCATTTTATGTCAGGGCCTGGAGGTCCTCAATCATCCTCAACCCGATCGGAATGTACCTACCAGGGTCCTTACATTCCCCTTAAATTATACCTACTATATTCTTAAAGTTCCCTCTTTGGGGCTCCGATTTCCTTCATAAACCCTAAACTCAAGTCAATGCGGCTCCTCAGGCATCTTGACAACGAAGCTCACTCGGAAGAGATCTGCAAGGTATACGTGCTTGGGCAAAGAGCTGGACCGAATGTGAAAACGCTTGAACCCACTTGTAGAATCATTGCCGCGGCATGCTGATCAGAGTTGGTATCTTCTACTGGAGGCCATCAAAAGGTCACTTCTTAGCATGTGATCCCCTTTGAGGTCCCTGCTAAAGTGCAGCTTCGGGTCCCTTAGAATCAGCCTCAAGAAAACCCTCAGCCTCAGAACGCCCCTTCCTCCTCATTCCAGGGAGCTCGCTCTCGTTGGAGCCGAATCTGCGCACCATGCGCGAGCGGGTTCGCAAACTCGCCAGTCAGCTCATCCGAAAGCAGAACCTGGAGAGAGCCTTGGGGAGGTAAGGGAACTTGTAAAGGGCTTAGGGTCCCATGTACCTTAGAAGGGGCTATAAGAAAATGGGGTTATGATGCAACTGTGAGGTTCATGTGGTTCCCGTGGTACTGGTAGGGTATTAGAGTCGGCTGTTAATCTGAGGTTTAGGGAACCCTGAATCCCAAACACTTCAAACCTCTATCCGGGCCTGGATTAGTGAAATATTCATACACCAGCTTGCAAGGGATGGCGACTGCAACCAGCTAGCTAGACATTCACCGAAAGCAAGCGTGGATGGGCTCATTGCCAGTTCCCTGTACCAACAAGAGAGGGGCAGCCGCTGGCCCGCTGGCATCCAAAATCAACGTCAAGGAACCAACGTTGATGAATCTGATGGATGATGGTGATGACGAGGGTGGGTGGTGGTGGTGGTGGTGGTGGTGGTGGTGGTGGTGGTGGTGGTGGTGGTGGTGGTGGTGGTGGTGGTGGTGGTGGTGGTGGTGGTGGTGGTGGTGGTGGTGGTATGGTGACGGTCTGTCGGTGAATGATAGGTGATGCTGGCTTCTGGTGATGACTGGTGCTGTTCCTACTACGGTCTCCTGCTTTCAAAAAAAGCCTCACCTATCCGACCCTGGCCACCGACGTCTTTCTCATGGACCCAAACGAACCCTCAGAGTGGGAGCATGTACCATTCTACCCTCTGCAGCTATGAGCCATATGGAACCCTACACCCTAAACCCTAAACCCTAAACCCTACACCCTGAAACCTATTCCCGAAACCCTTAACCCTAAACCGCCCGCTGGGGGTGGCACCTTGAAGCAAAGAACATCTTGCGCCACCTCGGCTCCTTGGATCCTGGGCACTGAAGGATTTAGGGTTCAGGGTTTAGGGTTTAGGGGTTTAGGGGTTTAGGGGTTTAGGGGTTTAGGGTTTAGGGTTTAGGGTTTGGGGGTTTTAGGGCTTTAGGGTTTCGGAGCTTTCGGGTATTTAGGGTTTACAGTCCAACCGTCCCTCCAAAGGGGAACCCCTTACCCCCCCACGCCGTGGGGGGGTTTCAGGATCCCCTGAACCCGGAAATCCTAGACCCTAGCTAACCCAAAAGCCCTGAACCTTTAATTCCAAACCCTGAGCCCTAAACCCCCCATAATCCTGAACCCTACACTGCAAAATCCTAAGCCCTGAGCCCTGAACCCGAACCCTTAAACCCAAAAAACTTAAATTCCTAACCCTAAACCCTAAACCCTAAACCCCTAAAAGACCCTCGGGCCAGAAAGCTGCGTCCGAGTCGCACGTCCCCCTGGTGCACCAAGACGCCCTGTAGCAGTGACTCCATCAAGTGGAAGGCACCTTGCAGATTTAGGGGGGTTTAGGGTTTAGGGCTAGGGTTTAGGGTTTAGGGTTTAGGGTTTAGGGTTTAGGGTTTAGGGTTTAGGGTTTAGGGTTTAGGGTTTAGGGTTTAGGGTTTAGGGTTTAGGGTTTAGGGTTTAGGGTTTAGGGTTTAGGGTTTAGGGTTTAGGGTATTAGGGTTTAGGGTTTAGGGTTTAGGGTTTAGGGTTTAGGGTTTAGGGTTTAGGGTTTAGGGTTTAGGGTTTAGGGTTTAGGGTTTAGGGTTTAGGGCGAGTTTTGGCTGTACGGTTTAGGGTTTTGGGGCTTATGATTTCGGGTTTACTTGGTTGGGGTTTAGTTGGTTTGGGGTAAGGATTTGGGGTTAGGGTTAAGGAGTTGGGGTTTGGTTTAGGGTCTAGAGTTTAGGTGTTAGAGTCATCTGGATCTGGATTTGCACAACCGACGGGAAGGAAAACGACTGTGTAGATGTCAAAGGGTTTTCTGGCGAGCGCTTGGCCTCCAAAGCAATGTAAACTCCCAAATAGTTATAAACACCATGTCAGCGCAGAAGTCCAAAAGCGACGACAGCTTCACATCTCGCGAACTGACGTCCAAAAGTGATGACAGTTTTGCATTTCGCGAGGCCAGACCAAAACGAGGACAGTTTCGCATCTGGCGAAACGAAGCCAACTAGCAGACAAGTGGTGAGATTGTCGAGGACGGCGAACAAGGCCCCGCAAGCGCCTAAGGCGAGGGCGCGGTCTTCGTTGAAACTGCAAGCAAGCTTCGAGAAAAATGCATGGCGGGTGCCCCGCATGCCCACAGCGACCTACCCCCTCTAAACTCTTGGTGTTGGAACCCCTATCATTGAACACCCCCAAAGCCCTATACCCCGAGCCTGAAGTGTAGCTACCCAAAGGGTCCGTTTGTAGTCCTTGGAAGTTAGGTACCCCAAAAACCCGACTTAGTATGGGTTTTGGGTCCAAAAACCCTATTCAGTATGGCTTTTGGGTACCGAAGTCCATTACTGTAGTACAACTGGACCCTCTGGGCTACTGCTCCCTAAACCCTAAACCCTAAACCCTAAACCCTGAACCCTGAACCCTGAACCCTGAACCCTAAACCCTAAGCTGTGCCGTGCGTGATTGCACTGGGGGGGAGGCCAGGGTTCATCATGCTCGGCACTCGAAGCCGGCGCAAGGGATCCGGGCGTGAAGGGAAATGTAGTTAATTCTCAGTTTAGGGTTTAGGATTTAGGGTTTCGGGTTTAGGGTTTAGGGTCAGGGTTTAGGGTTACAGCTTTGAACAGGAACGGGGCGGGACCACTTCTATCTCCAATTCCCACGCTGTTGAAAGAGTCATCTTGCAGCTTGCGTTCGGGAACCCAGTAGAAAAGGCTTGGAGTTTAGGGTTTAGGGTTTAGGGTTTAGGGTTTAGGGTTTAGGGTTTAGGGTTTAGGGTTTAGGGTTTAGGGTTGGCTGCGGGTTGGCGGGCAAACGCAGGAAGCAAGTGAGCCCATGAAGATGTCGTGCCAAGGCCGGCGCTGGCCCACAGATCATGGCCCACTTCTGTCACGGAGTTCCTTCAGGGTTTAGGGTTTAGGGTTTAGAGTTTAAGCTTTTTGGCTGTTGGATTCAGACTTTGCAATGATTTAAAAATGAGGCCGTAAGGGCTTGCAGAGTTGGCACGTGCCCAGAAGAAAGATAAACACACCGCCAGCACTGTTGGGTTTCCCAAGCCGCTGAAATGCAACCCTGTATTCGTCGTATGATCTAGCAAGCAAACCCTAAACCCTAAACCCTAAACCCTAAACCCTAAACCTTAAACCCTGAACCCTCAACCCTAAGCTGTCCAACACTTCAAGCATCTGTCCGACCACACAGCACCGTGTAACGCCAAGTCTCCACCGCAGCCACTGCTCCTCCCAGTTGTCCCCGGAGCCCTGTGAACAGGCTTAAACGGATGTTAGGGTTTAGGGTTTAAGGTTTAGGGTTTAGGGTTTAGGGTTTAGGGTTTAGGATGAACACCAAACCCTGAACCCTGAACCCTAAAGCCTGAACTCTAAACCCGAAACCCTAGCCTAAACCTTGAACAGAAAAGCCGTGTCTGTTCAAGCGCATCTCCGTCAAGCTTGACAGAACTAGCCCGAACGCTAAAGCCTAGGGCTTTTAGGTTTAAAAGCCGGGGTTCAAGGGCTTACGGGAGTTTAGGGCTTAGGTTTCGGGCTTCGGGTTTAGAATTCGAACCCTAAAGCAACCATAGACTGAAACGATGTAACCCGACAGTCCTCAAATCCTACATCCAAAAAGTCCCCAAAACTGCAATGCCGGCTAGAGTGGCTTAAGAGTATGGGGTTCCCCTAAGTCCCCCAACCAACTCTTAAGGCCTTCTAGGGCTGTAGGATTTCTATGAACCAGGCCTTGAAACTTTCGACGCTTACTCGCACTTCTGAAGGGGCTTTTGTTGGGTAACGCAGGGGCTTCTTAGGTACAGAGGGCTTATCGGGGGAATAAGATGAAGGGTCCCCTTACACCTCTTAAATGCTTCTGACCCCACACCAGCAACAAATCCTATGCAAGTTGCGAAGTTCCGAATACTAGGTTTTAGGGTTTCGGGTACCTGTTTTGGAGGCTCCTATAATAAGATTTGTCGGCGTAAAAGGGGGTACCCCCTATTTGGGGAATAACCAATGCCAATGATCCGGCCTTGCAGGTCTTAAACCCTACACCCCCCGCAAATCCTAACACACTGGAGGCCATTAAACCCCAAAAGCTCTACAAGCCCCTAAGCCCAGCCCCAAACCCCAAACCCCAAACCCCAAACCCCAATCCCCCAAACCCCAAACCCCAAACCCCTAAACCCTAAACCCCTAAACCCTAAACCACCTTCAACCCCTAAACCCTAAACCCTAAACCCCTAAACCACTAAACCCCTAATTCAACCCTAAACCCCCTTAAACCCCCAAACCCCCACCTGGCAGCCCCTGCCTTGAAGACCTGCTGCGCCGCAGCCTCGCGAACCGCCGCGGCGCCACGCAGCCCGAAGGTGTGGAGGTTCGTGAGAAGCCTGAAGGATTTCTTTTTTATTTTTATTAGTATTACTATTATTACATTGTTTTTTGCCTTATTATTATTTTTTTGGGGGGTTAGAGTACTTTTTTTTTGGGGGGGGGAACATGTGTATCCGAGGGTTTGTTTTCGGGGGACAGTCGGATTCTTAAGGGCGTTGCGAATTTTCGGATCGTTGGAGCGAGCCGTGCAGGATGTCTTCCACCAGTGGCATTTTGCAGCGCTGCTTTAGGGTTTAGGGTTTAGGGTTTAGGGTTTAGGGTTTGGGGTTTAAGGTTTAGGGTTTAGGGAAACCTTCTACCTCAGAAAGCCTTGAGCGAAAGGATGGGATCTTGGAAGTTTGTAAACCTTGGAACCCTAGATGCAAGGGCTAACCCTAAACCCTAAACCCTAAACCCTGAACCCTGAAGCCTGAACCCGCAACCCTAAACCGTAGCCTCGACGTCCCAAGTGATGCCCCATGCAGCTGAGGCTCACTTCTCGGCCATTCTGCTCCTCCGCGGGGCAGGCACCCCAGGGCCCCTGAACCCGGAACTTTAAACCCTAAACTCTAAACCTTAA